ACCTGGATGGCTAAGTTGGTCTAAGGCAGCACACTCAATATGTGTTATCGAAAGATGCGCGAGTTTAAATCTCGCTTCCGGTAAGGCTTTTCTTTTTAAGAAATACTTTTTTGCTACCTTTTATTGTCTAATCTATTATTTTCAGTTTTTCATATCAAATTGAACATATATTAAAACCTATTCTAATATATAAGAAATTAATTGCATTTCAGTACTGACTAATCCCACTTGTTTTGGTCTTGAAGTTTTTAGTGTCTTTTTTTTTTTTTTTTTGCCATGGGTAGTTTTGACGCGCTTTATCAACGTCACTTTACTAATCCTTTTTGAAAAAGTTTTATATCCATTTGAATGATGCGAGGTATAATATTATGGGATAAAAAAAAATTTTTTTAATACTTTTAATGATAGATTAAAAATATACTGACAAGATAGAACCGCCGGCAATCTCTTTACCAGAGCGACGCTCCACCACTATGCCTAACAGGTACTTCGTTGTAATTATGATACAAAATATTTTATAAGAATATAAAAAGATATAATATTTATTAATTTAAATATTATTGAAATTAATTTTATTATTAATATTTACAAAATAAGTTAAAATTAATATTTATTTTATATAAGATATAATATTATAAAATTATAAAATTATTTTACTACTAATATAAGTTTATTATAAGTACAAAATTTAAATAATAATAATAATATGGAGAATAATAAGATAAAAATTAATTAGGAAGTTTTAATTATAAAAAATGTTGTATTTTTGTTTTATTATTATGTATTAATTGAGAATGAATAATAATGAACAATTATTTTAATAAATAAATATAATAAAAGGAATATTGTATTCTAAAATAATAATTTGAGGGTATTAAATAAGTATATAATAATATTATATTAATTCATAAATACAATATTCCCTGATTAATTCCCTCTTGCTTGTTCCATATTTTATGATATTTTTTAAATTAATTGTATCAACTACGTTTAAGAAATTATAATTATTTGTTAAATAATTATAATTTTTTTATTCGATTATTTATCTATTATATAATTTATATATTTATTCAATTAATTAATAATTATTTATTAAGTTAATATGTATTTGTACACTTAATTATAGTTTTAGTTAAAACTTTTCTTTAATTTAAATTTGCTTAATATACATTTATTTTTTTCAAAAATATAAGTTAATAAACAGTTATTTAAAAATATCAATAACTAGACACATGAATTTACAAAATAAATATTTATTTGTATTTTATAATTATGATTTTTTTTTAAAATTTAACATAATTACTTAGTTTTAAACTTTTTAAAATGTTATAAATATAATTTATTTGTTATTACAATATTAAGAATAAATTAGCAATTATTTTAATAATTTGTTATTTTTCACACTCCCCAAAAAATCTAATTTCAATAAAAAAAAAATAAAAGAAAAAAATAAACTTTATTAAAAAGAGAAAAAAAAAATGATGATAAATTTTAATTCAATCTCTTTAGAACTTCGTTAGTAGAGAATTTCTAAACTTACCTATTAAGGTTTTGTTCAAATACTTAATAAAGCCATCTGCCAGATTATTTTTAGATTTTATATATTTTAGTTCAATAAGTTTTTCACTAACTAAATCTCTAATATGATGATATCGAATATCGATATGTTTTGATTTTGGATTTATCGATTGATTTTCACCATTATATATTGTTGCCTTATTACCTACAAATATTATAATGCAATTGATATTTATATTTAATTCATTCAAAAATTTTTTATACCATAAAGAATGTCTAGCACATTCGCTAAAGCTATAATACTCAGCTTCGGCAGTGGAGGTAGAAAAGCAATATTATAATTTAGAGTACCAACTTGTTGGGGTATTTCCTAACATCATTAAAAATCCAGAAGTGGATTTTCTTGTATTTGAATCACCTGCGTAGTCTGCATCCACAAAGACTTTTAAATTCATTCCCTTTTGAATTTTTATACCATAATTTCTTGTATATTGAAGATAATTAAAAATCTTCAAAGCATTCTTCCAATCTTCCAAAGTAGGATTGCTTGATTTTCTAGCAGCCTTGCTAACTGAAAAAGTATGTCGGTCCTGGTACAGATTCCTAATCTTCATATTTTTTTTCTTTGCTTCTTTTTTCCTTGAGTTGAGAAAAAGAGATATCTGGAAAAATTTATTTGAGATAATTATAGCATTCTTTCCAATTGTTGTTGAATTATAATACATTGATCCATCCTATGTTTTCGGAAAAAGCTCGGTTCAGCATTCCTACTTTGGAATTATCGAAGATATCGGAATCAATAATTTCTAGCTCATTTAACATATTTTGAAGTGTAGCTAGAAAAATATGAATATTTCCATTAATGTCAAATTTTAAAAGATTAATTTTATTTTCTAATATCATTCTCCTGTGTTCTAATAACATTCGATGTACATTAGAATTTCCTTATTCATTCCCTTCCAATAGCAATTATGTTTCAACCTGTGTTAAGTTTTATAGATTCCCTTGTGTCCCACCGAATGCGTCGTTTCTTCTATTAGTTGAAACCTCTATTTTTTTGGTCATCAACTATTTTCCTAAGTCTACCATCTTGTTTATAATAATTTTTTTCCAATCTAACACTATGATTCTTCGACTAATGAAATCTTCTATCTTTTGCGAGAGTAGCACCACTTTATTGTCTTCACTATCTTAAAATATATGTATGTTTAAACTTCTTTACACAGTATAGGGCTACAGTTCCCTCCAAGTCAGTAACACTATAATTAGTTTCGACTTTCTTGAGTGCTCTACTGACGTAATAGATCAGTTTTTCTACTCCATTTTCATCCTTTTGCATAACGGCTCCTTCAAATTCCAGAACGAATTGCATCGGTCCTATAATAAATGCTTTATTAAAATCGGGTGGTACCAATATGGGGACTTGTATTAATTGTTCCTTTAAAGTCTTGAAAGCTAAGTCAGCTTCAGTTGTCCAATCGAATTTGGAATTTTCTTTAACAACTTGAAAAATGGGCCATCAATTTGTGCAAAATCCTTAATAAACTTCCGATAGTATCCAACTGCACTTAGAAAGGAGCGAAGTTTAGAGACATCCTTCGGAGGAAGCCAGGTTTCAATTACCTTGACCTTTTTAGGTATTGGTTTAATGCCTTCAATAGATACAATATGACCTAATAGCTCCATTTCCTTTTGAAAGAAGTGACGTTTCTCCAAATTCAATTTAAATCTATTATCTTTAAGTAAAGAGAAAATTTTGGCAAGATAGTGTTGATACTGGCACAATAATTCAAAAAGATTTCACCATGTTGTCCTTCGAATCTGTTCGTATATCTTAGATATTTTGTTTTCATTTAACTTATTAACTGTATTGGTTATTATTCTTTCTTAGCTGTCTTTGCTGTTGCTCTTGGGGCTAATTTTAATTTTCGTTAGAAAACAGAATAAAATTTTGGAAAGAGGTCGAGTAAATGAACTTACTTAGTACCAACTTCTGTGCCTGCTACCTTATCCACCAAATTCTCCAATAAATAATCTTCAAATCCATCCATCAAGCGGATGTAACGCTCTAGTCGTGTCACTCTTTCAGTTAAGTCTTCATTTTTATCTTCTTCCGTTCCAGCTTTTTTACAATTCTTTAAGACGCTCCACTTTATTTCTTCGTTTAACTGGCTCTATTCGCTTTTCAGATAAATAAGACAAGTTCAGCTGAGAAGTACTGGTGTAGTTTCTTTGTTCTTTTAGTTCTTCCTGATCCATTTCAACTTCTACTGGTTCCATAGTTTCTTCTAACTTTAGGGAATCCACTTGTTGTTCTTTATTGATTTTTACTTCTTCACTTCTATTGGTTTCTTCCACGATTTTGTTTTCTTCCTGAGGTTGTGGGTGTTATGCATTATAGCAAGAGTTGAAATTGGAATTGGGTTCTCTTTTAACTCCGATCTATCCGAGTAATTTGGTTTTGTATAGGGATTACTTTTTCTATTTCTACGAGTGGTTTCTTTACCGCGGGATAACGGCTTTCTTGATGGAAGTTGTAGTACTTTGAATTTGATTGGAGAACTCCTGATTGGCTATTATAATGGTGGTTTGTTTACTGGAAGTTTTCCTTCTTCCATCTTCTAATTTAAAAGTTCTTTTGCTTCCGTTTCAGCCAACTTCTTAAAGGTATAGGGAATTTCTGGAGATTTGTAACCAGGTTCATTGTACCTAAAGCACTTAATAGAACTAGATTTCCTATAAGGTATATACTTAACATCTTTGTCGTTGGTAGCCAAAGTTACCTTCTTCGTGATATTTTTAATATATCCTTGTTTTTTTATTTGATTTCGTATTTCCCATGAATCTTCTTGGTGTAGATACATTTTGTTTTTCACGGTAGCCTCTTCATGGTTGATATTCGCTGTTACAATACTTAGAATAATCTTGAGGATTCCTGTTACGGATTGATTCATTTCTGTATTGATAAGCATCATCATCTATATTCCTGAGGTTCCTATAGAAGGGGTGATTAGTCATATAATTTCGGTTTTGTACTACCATAGAAACATTTCTTGGGTTCTTTTCTTCTTTTGTTGTAATCCTTTCTTTCTTTCTTGAATTTCTTTTTCGGTAGTTTCGGCCAACTAAGCAATTTCAAACGCTTCTTGTAAGTTGCCGACCTTTGCAATAGATTCTTGGGAACACGAAAAAATCCTGGGACTTATAGATTTTTTATGTTCCTTAACTGTAATTAGTTTTTGATAATCCCGACTAAGGTTGTAGTTAGGGTAAAATTTTATTTATTTATTTCTTTTTCCTTTGCTTCTTTTTTATTTAGAGAGAATTCGTTACTTATATACTTTTACATAAAATTAAAATTTCTATTTAATTTAATATATATTTAATTTTTAAATTATTTCACTATAAATAATTGTTTCAATTAAAAATATAAACTAACCTAATAATTTAATTGCTCTTAACTTTAATATCATTAATTAATTATATACATGTTTATTTTTAATTATTTTATTATATAATAATTATTTCAATTAAAAATATAAATTATCTTAATAACTTAATTGAT